AACCCCACACCAAAAATAGTGCCGACAATGACAATCTAGTTATTTTAAGGAATCGACCATATGTTAGCTAAGCTACGTTATACACTCGGAAGAGGGTAACTTAGATTTTTTCCCCTATTGTCACCGACTCCATTAGATTCCATGCATCTCATTCCTACATATTTTCTAGGACATCACAAGAGAAAGTTAAGTTTTACATCTCAAGATTTACCAAACTAATTTATCTAGTTAGGTTCATATTTTGATTTAGGTTTGTATTTTAGAGCAGTTATTAGAAAAACAACCTTAATTCACAATCCAAATTAGGACTGATAGTAGTAGAATAGAGCTTAGCTTAAGGGCAACTTAATCAACAGTAGTTGAAGAAACCAACAGGCGGAGGTCGACAGTTTTCTACAACTACGGAGGTTGGGGTTATCACCTGGCCTTTAGTTCACAACTACACTAGAATTTGATTCATTCTCCTCTCCTACTAAGTGAAGAGAGGAGATCTATTTAAGTCTCTAAAGCAGGGGCATTTTGATCTTTTGATGAATAATTTCTCCAACCATCTGATTGGATGACCCACACTAATTTCCTCTGATCATATAGATTTTTTTTTTATAATTTGAGAGCCTTAATAACCTTAGAATTAAGCAATCTAAGGCTTGTTGGATTCTTATCGTCGAGATGCTTGATGTGACTATAAGTTTGTCAAAATTAAATTTCATTTCACTATTCAAATAAGAATCTTAATCATCAAAATGTGTGTTAATATCTTGATATGGATTTGATTGGACTCTGTACAAACCATTTTATTGTATCATTGGACCTATCTTATCGAAACAAATAGTTTGAAAATGGAGCCCAAGATGATCTTGAATTTGAGTCTGGAATACTTATTGCTCAAAAGATACATCGAGATTCACGTCAAATGATAAATTTTTTTGATGATGCATCAACTTAAACACTAAGAGGTGCTTTTAAGATTATATTGTATATATGCGTGAGAAATGAATGGTGATTAAAAAGTTGATTTGGAGGATGCAAAACGAATAAGAAAACAAAAAGAAATAATACTAATAATAAAAGAAAGGAACACAAACCTTGGAAAAAAAATTCAAGTCGAGTTGTATGCCTTTCAATGAACATCCTTTACATGAAGCCACCAAGCAAGATATTTGAAGAAAAAACTAAGGGACTAACTCCGATCTATTTTGATTATTTATTTTTATGTTTTAGTTATATTTTATTTTATTTATTTTAGTATTTAAAAAAAAAAACATATTCGAATAGTATGTTTTATTATGTTTAGTTATTTTTAAAAAAAATACAAAAAATAATTACTAAATGTTTTTAATTATTTTAAAATAAACTAATTTATTTTAGAAAATAAAATAAAAAAATCATAGATAAACGCACAATTTAAAAATACTTTTAAAATAAAAATAAAATTGCCAAATAAACCCAAATCTTCTTAATTTGAGGAAATGCCTCCTTGTAATTGGCGTTTGTTCTCATCCAATTGTGCCGCGTTCGCCAAATTTTAATTGAATTAAATACCCCACAATCCCACTGCCCTCTCATTCTCATACCAACCAATAAACATAAAAAAAATCATATCGATACCCATTTCCTTCTTCTACGGTGGACATAAAACCATTTATCAATTCTGTCTTTTAGCTTGCTCTTAAATAATTCCTCATGGTTGCAAATTTTATATACCATTCATTCGCCCATGTTCCAAAAATAAAAATACCCTTAACTCCCGGTGCTTGTCAGTCTACCCTTTAGAGAAAAATTTACGTAACACTAAGTACGACAGGAAGGTTATTTAGAGGGTATTGAAGAGTTATATCCGCATTATACTCACTGTAACCTCTCAATAACTTACAAATATATGAAAACAAAAATATGAAACTTATTAGAAGGTACAGGTAGGTTTTAGGAAGTTACAAGGGATATAACGCCAATATAACCCCTCAACAACATTTGAATAACATCTCTGACGTACGCAGCGTTACTTACGTCTTACGTAGGCAAATTTTTCTCCTACCTCTGACCAAGACTAGAGGGAAAAATATTACATTAGGACTCATTCAGATTGGAATATTTGGCTATGTTAAAAAAATATTTCATCTACTTTATTTGTTAAAATGATGTGTTATTCAAGTATTATAGGGTGTTATTCAATTATTTTGCGGTGTTATTGGAATATTCTATCGCATCACTTGATTTGGGGCTGAAGTGTTATTGAAATATTTCTCTGCATTACTTAATTTGGGGCTGTGTTATTCCAATAACATAATAGAAATTAAAATAACACGGGGAATATGTCAAATAATATAACCCAAAATCAAATAAAGCAAAGGAAATATTTTAATAACACCACAAAATAATCGAATAACAAAATATAATATTCAAATAACACATTATTTTAACTAACAATGTGTAAATAATATTCTCGTAACGCAGCTGAATATTCCAATCCGAACATAGCTCTACATCAGAAGTCCTGATGTAATATTTTTCAAGACCAAAGAGAAAAAAAATAGGCCGAATTATTTCTTACAAGCAACACAAGATCAAATTTTAAAGGGGGCATGGCATTTTCATATATACCACCCAATTTCTATGCATTTACATATCCAAACCATGCCTAGGAAAGATGGCATGAATGTAAAATTTGGAGTTTTAGGTGTTAGACATGTAAAAATACACAACGAATTCACATTGCAGCTGGTTTAAGAAATATAATAATTAGGATCCGAACCTAATTTCAATATTTAACAAAAAACTAGCACGAAATTCTGGGAACGGTCGAAAGACGAAACAAATTAGGTTTTTATTATTTAAAAGTCTCTACTTAATACTTTAATCCAATTATTAAACAAATAATTTCAAAATAACCATTCAATTAAATGCTTAAATCACACGCATACACATATTATTAATCTGGACAAAAAAAACATTTAAAATAATAAAAAAAATACAGTTCTTTCCACGTGTCGCCTTCACGACCCCTTCGGCCCCACAACAGCCTAGTTTGGCTTTCCGAAGCCCACCTATCCACCCCAGTATTCATGAAATAATCAAGCTCGATAACCAAAAGATTAATAGATTAATGCTACTCCTCAAATAAATTTATTAATAAAATCAAAAATAAATTAAAAGTGAGGAAAAAGTATTGCATCAAGACTCCACACGTAGAATTACGTGCGGAGTTCAATGAAATAATGTCATGTGAAGGTGACAGAAAAAAAAATCGGTCAGATAATACCGGGAAATATTCCTCATGTTATTCTGTGTTATTCATGTGTTATTGCATGTTATTCAGATGTTATTATGTTCTGAGAATAATAAACACCTGAATAACACACAATAACATCTGAATAACACACAATAACACCTGAATAATACTGGAAGAATATTTCATTGCGTTATCGAGCATATTTTATCTTTTTTTCTGTCATCGTGTTGTGACATGATTTCATTAGACTCTGTAAATAATTTTATATGCAGAGTCCTGATGAAATATTTTCTCTAGAGGGATACGAATATGAATCGCTGCAGCACCTACTGAATTCGAATTAAAAGGGAGGGAATCTAGAGCAGCGCTGTGATAAATGCACCGCGCAATCATCCTTGGGGACGATCGTGGGGACATACGAGATGTCATCACAGCCGTCCGTCCGGCTTCTCCGAAAATCGAAAATAGAGACAAAGAGAGCGATAAAGATGATCAGGTGATTGAAAGCATAGCGCTGGCCAACGCACTGGTGGGGCCCAGCCCCGAATGCTAAAAAATTTCGCTTGTAAATTCGGTCCTCATGCCGGTCTTCTAAAAACCGGTCCGGATCGAACCGTTCCGGTTCAGTAAACCCCTGGAATGAGGACTCGTAAGCGGATGGGAACACGATGGCGCCTTTGGGGACCGTGTACCAGTCCGTCAGAGGGAAGTCCTCGCCGGCGATGTGGGGCACCATGGTCGCCGGAGGACGGATGCGAATCACCTCACGGGCTACTGCTTCAGTGTACGTCATCTCCTTCACGTGCTTGGGGGAGATGAGTTCGCCGGAGTCCGGCAACCACAGTGAAGCCACCTCCTTGCGCACGCGAGCGAGGACTTCAGGGTGCGATTCAAGAAACGTAATTGCCCATAGGAGAGAAGAAGTGGAGGCGTCCTGCGCTGCAAACAAAAAATCGAACAGGTGGCCTCCAATCTCACGATCGTCTTTTTCAGGGGAATCTCGGATTGTCTCCTGCATCCAGAAATCAACCAAGCAAAGGGGTTCCTCGCCGGCGCGCATTCGGTCCTTGCTCAGAGCCACGCAACCAGAGAGCGTATTCACGAGGCGGTCGACGGCGAGCCGAGCTCGCCGAAAAGCGAAACCTGGGAGATCGAAGGGTAGAGCCATGAGGCCGAGGTTGAACAGATTGTAATCAAAATCGAACCTTTCGCGTGCGAGAGGGGAGAGATGAGGACCAACGAAGACGGTCTGGGAAGTTTCCAAGTTGAGGTCGCGGCAGAGAAGACGAAGAGGGATGGCATTCTGTGTCAAAGCAAGGTCGATCCATTTCTGGAAATGGCGCAAGATGACTTTTTGTTGTATCACGAGGTAAGTGGAGAGTGCACGAGGTGTGAAATTGGGAGCGATGCTGCGGCGAAGGTCTTTGTGTTGTTGATCGAAGAGGTAAATCATGTTGTGGTCGCCGAAGAGTTTTTTACCGAAAGGGTGGCCGATGAGATGAAAGGCTTCAGGGCGGACGTTGGAGAAGATTTTGTGGGAGATTTCGGTGGAGCTGATGAATATGATGAAGCGGCCGACGAGTAAATTAGCGGAGAAGCCGAGGCCGGAGGATTTGGCCATGGAGGCTTGGCGGTCCCAGAAACGGGTGGGGTTTGAGATCATAGAGATGGCGCTGCCGAGGAAGGGGACGATGAGGGTGGGGCCTGGGAGAGGGCCTTTCTTTTTGAGGTAGGAGAGCTGCTGGAGGAGGATGAGCAGAGCGATGGCACATAGCAGGAAAGGGGTCGACGTTGCTACGAGTTGCCATAACGCCATTTGTTCTTCGTTTCTTCGCTATATCTCTCTCCTGTGTTCTTCGAGATATATAAGGGAGAGGAGTTCTAGAATTCTTTATGCCTTTTGAACGAGACAGGGTAGTTGGGAAGACGAAAGGGTGTGGAGGGGGGGAAGAAGAAGAAGGGAATTGCTAAAAAAATCAAAAGTTGTGTTTTTTTTTTTATTCATTAGTTTGTGTAAATTGACGCGCGGCATGATGTTCAAATGGGAATTGTTGGGAGTTAAAACAGGGCTTAAAAGGGACGAAGAAAAGTGAAATCTTGGTCAAGGGTAGATGCGGCCGTCGAAAGCGAAAGGACGGCGCGGACAATGGCATCAGGCGGCGGCAGCCACAACCACCGCAGTGGTCAAAACTTCCAAAATCTGTTTTTTTTTTAAAAATTAATATATTTATTGTTAGAGAATTTTAAAAGTTGTAAAACCGTATACTTTGACCTCAATGCTCTTCCACGCATCATCTAAAACTTCTCGCTTCATAAATTCTCATTGCCCAATTTTCTTATCCCCACCCAAATTCATCTCTGCTCATCCCAACTCTGTTACTTGAATCAAACTCTTTCTTTTGTTAACACTTAACAATCAATACAAATCTTAAAAGTGTTGATTGACCTTCAATTTTTTATTTAACGATCACATGTTTTATGTGACTTGTTGTAAGTTATGAAGTATAATATTAGAAGAAATAATATTACGTGATGTAGACTTTGAGGTCTCAGAAAGTGATGCCGTACAATATACAAAATAATGTTATGACACAACTTATCGATTTTAACCAAATTTTGTGATATTATATCATGAACTTTTGCATTGTTTTAGCCGAACTAGGATGCACGAAAATCTTTGAAACGTATAAGTCATAAATTTAGCGCCAAGATGATAATTCGATCAAATTACAAGTAGGTTCCAACGTGTTCTACTGATGGTTATGTATAGTCCATCGTTTTAGTTCAAAAAAAAGATTGTATGTCAAAAATGGACCCATCAGGTCATTTTTTCGGGCCTCTGTAGCCCATGAGATGACCTATTATGATAATGAACGTTTAGGACCAAAAATGGTAACTCGGACCAACAAGGATTTGAATAGCTCTTGAACCATCCTCATAAGCCGACTAGATGGACGAGTCTAGAGGCGCATAAAGAAAAGGTCAACTCAGAACGATAAGTGGCCTGATAAAAGTCAATAAAGCACTAACATACCAAGTGTGATAGGACGAGTATGATATGCCAAATACAAAGGATGAGAACAAATCATCAGAGGCAAATAAACTCACTGTTTAGGAAAGAAGTCAACCAGTAGATAATCTCTCAAAGACCCTAACTTTTAATGGGGATATAAATATTAAAAAAAACCACAAGCGCAAAAAGACCTATGGGTGGTATAAGCCTAAATATGTTAATTTATAAAGGCCAATCATTATAAATAAGTGGTATTAAATGTAAAATGAGTGATCCTAATGTCTTTTGACCATCAGTTAGAGTCGGACAAAAACTCCCTGTTTTTATCTATTCTTCCTCATTTTGCTCATTATCGCCTCAGTCTAGTTGTTTACGGCTCTCTCTCTCTCTCTCTCTACCATCCGTTCTCTCCTTCGCAACGCTTAATTTCTCGGGTGTGATGCAAGAATAAGACTAAGTTCAACACCCTGAAAATATGCAATGAGTGTGGATCATGTCACAAATAAGAGGAGTGATAAAACAAGGAGAAAAACCTAGCTATCGAGAAGTTGTAGCAACATGAGCTACATCATATATTTTGTAGCTCAGCGGATTCATAAGCTCAAAAAATAGATGGTAGAAGTGATTAGTCAACACTTACTAAAGCAACAACATTGTCATCCCAATCGACGGGCCTTCCATGGCAAAAGAGAGAATCTACAGCACTAGCACCAAAAGAACCCCTGCAAAACCCCTAAGTGAAGAAGACGACTCGTTGGAAGAAGAGCAAACCAAGTAAACCCCTACACAGAAATGAATCATGAGGAGAATCACTCAAAACTAAGACACTCTACAATATAACGAGGTGAATAGTCGTCACTCTCACCCTCGTCCAAATCTTGTAGCGATAGATGCATTGAGACTTAAAGAATTTTCCCACAAAGAGCCGCTCATTTCCTAGAGACTCGACCAAAGATATCCTTAAATAATTTATAAATAAAGTGAGTAAGAGATTTAATAAGTCACACATGAATCCTTCACTAGGACCAAGAGAAAAAAGAAGATATGTATTAAAAAATATTATTTTTAATCAATATGGTAAGTACAATTGTACTTGGCCATTTAACATTTGGCTAGTGGTTGCTCGCTCTCTCATTACTTTTACAAAAAATGCAAGTCTTCTTCAGTAGTACGGTTGACTCTTGTAGTCATCCTTCTGTTGAATCGTGAGGCCTACTCATCAGCATATTCCATTGAATTGAGAGGCATCTCCTTTAGGATCAGATCCTCCGTACATATTTAAAAAGCTTGCTCATACTTAGATGGAAGGGGGTGGTGAGAAGGTATGGTCACTTCCTTTTTTTTCATTTGGGAAGATGGATCTCAGAGATTTCTCTAAAGGTATGATATTATTTCCTCTAGTTATCCTATTATTTATAATGATAAGAAATTAACAGCACACCATTAGGAACTGTTAGAACTTGAGAAAACGACCAATTGGAACCTATGAAAAAATAGGTCGAAGGAGATGTAGGACGACTAAGTATTTAAACCCGTCTATCAAACATCTGATCAGCCTCTCCAACAATAACTGACATAGAACTCCATTCTACCTCAAACTTTGAAACACCAGAAGGATTAGCCAAAACCTTTTCGGAAAGACACTTCTTCCTCACTAATGTATCTACCTTGGAGGTCAGATGAACCTTCTAGTACTGAATATGAACATCAAAGAGAACATGCTCGGAACTCGTGAACTAAAAACACTCCCTTTCAGAAACTAGCAAATAAGAAGTTAAAAGCTGAAAGCATGCAAGTATGAGTCATCCAACTCATTCTCACTCTCTTCTTCGACCCCCTCACTTAGAGTTTGTTAGAGTTCTCTTTTAACAATTTTTCATAATTACATTTCAAAATTTTTAGGTATAGAACTGAAAAAGATCCCTAGCATTTATAGACATTGAAGGTAAAATATTAAATATCATAGTTATGATGATGGTTCAGTGACCAACTATATGGTGACATGCCAGCATTAAGAAGTACTTCTAACATCTATGATGTTTCCAATTAGTAGTTTGTTCTTTTGGTAAACTGTTATCTCTTCCCTAAATTAGATGCCATGAAAATCATATATTACACTTAAGAAGCTTAATAATTCATATAAACAAAACTTATTTGATTAAGCAAAATCTTCTAATTAGATCAAGGCATCCGAACTATAATTTTTTGATTCAGTCATCTCTTTGACATCATAATCAACATTACTATCCTAAACATATTGGTGGACCATCTAAGATTTTCTTGATTTGATCATCTCTCTATAATGAATTATATATATATTCACCCTGCAATATTCAAGTAGTACAAAACCCTTCTACCTTCCACTCTCAAAACATAGGTCAAGCCCTGAAGAATAGATTCACCCACTTATGATAAAAAAAAATTCAACATTTACCACCTCAGAGGCTAGTCTAAATAGTTACCTTTATAAAGATAACAATAATATTTGCTTAATAAGCCTAGCATAAGGAACAACTCATCTAGCATGATGACTTAATCGAGAGTATGGATTGTGTAAGACCTAAGCCAGACATATTATTATGATAATATATCTCTATCAAAGAACGGGCAAACATATGGCTTCAAAATTTTTTTTGAAGTCATTCCTTATGACACTCATTATAAATATAATTTGCTATGCCTGCCCACCTAGCTAGTTAATAAAGAAATTTTTGGTAAAATAATATCATTCTACACAACTAGCTAGCCAAGTAATGATTACATTCATTTTCCATCAAACATATTATCACTTAGTTTAAATAAAAAGTTCACTTAATGTTAATATCATTGAAGAATCTTATAGTACGACTAATTCAAAGTCTTATACTCGTACAAGTGAAAGCTATTCAAAATAATATATATCCCATTCATGTTCTTAAGCAAAAATAAGAAAAAAAAAAGATGATAACTATTAAAAAGCTATGTGCATACCTTCATTCCATTTTTAATGAAATAAATACATAATATTTTATAAAATGAATCAGAGAGAGGAATCCGCTAAGCATGTCACATCATATATTCGATGAATCCCATCACTCCTCACTATCACAATCCTCTTCGAAGTTAGCAACTAGCTCTGTATACTTCGTCATATCAGCTCATTATGAGGAAACTGCCTTATGCTTCACTATATGGTTGAGACAATATTGGGTTCCTTTCAGAATTTCTCCCTCCTAAAGGTCTTGATCACTTACTCTAAAGCTAGAGGCTAATAACTAATTGGTAGAACTTTTAGAAGGCCATTTGAAATTTAATAACTTATTCATTTGTTTATTTGAAATATGATTGTTTATTTATAAGTTATATGAATAGGATTGTGTTGATGCAATTGATAGATCACATATAACCGCACATGTACCTAAAGAAGAGCAAATTTCACATTGAGGAAAACATAAGGAGCCAACTCAAAATATGATGTATATATGGATTTAATATGATGTTTACTTACATATTATCTTGTTGAGAGGGGACAACAATTGATGCTAGGAAATTTGTAGAATAATTATCAAATCCTGAATTAAATTTTCCTATGCCACCAATTTTTAAATTATTAAATAATAATTTTTTTATTTTAGTGAGATTTTTTTTAAAAAAATAAGGAAAATATTACTTGGTTGATTCAGGCGATGCTAACATGTCAGGTTTCTTATAAACATATGGAGGATTAAAATATCATTTGAGTGAATATCATGAGGGCACTCAGCCTCAAAGTCAAGTACTATTAAATTATAGAAATTCTTCTTTAAGAATATTATTGAACGATGTTTTGGATTTCTGAAAAAAATGTGTTCAATTCTCATAGAAAGCTAGCCTTCTTACGATTTGCATGCAGCGATATATTATAACAACTTGTCGTACATTGCATAATTTTATAATGTCACAATCAAGGGGAGATAGCTTATTTAAGATTTATGAAAATAAAAATTTTATAGTTGTTACAAAAAGATGATCTACATCAATCGGTGTCACAAACAGTGCCATTGAAGTTAATGTTACTTAATCTCAGTTGCACTATATGGCTCTATTTTTTGGTCAAGTTACAAG